TCCTTGAGCACCAAGTCAGCTGCAACGAGGTACCCGAGTCCTTGATACACGAAGACCCCGATCCTTGGTAGGACAAGGAATGTTAGTACCAAGCACAATAACAATACTAGATCCAGGACCCCAGACGGTAGTGACCTTGGCTGGGCGTTTTCTCTTCTTCAGGCATCGAGGCATGGTGTCGCATATTATCCGACGTCGCGGATTTCCCTCGATACGTTGTACGCCCCCTTCCAGTGCGTCCTGCTGACAGCTGTCACTGTTCGGAACACTGAAGACTACGGTCTACGCTGGTGACTGCCTACAGGCACTGACTTGGTGAGCCGTGGAATGAGCAGGATGGCAACCTCTGGCAAGGACGAAATGAAGACTGCGTCGAGCTTGTCATGTCCTGTTAACAGTGCCCTTTAGAGGCACAACATCTGACCGACATGCTTTAATGGCACAAACTAAGTATGCTGTCAGAGTTGTGGTGAAGTCCGCAGGTTTGGGCGTGTGACGAGAAAGTGACGGTAGGACGATTTCTTCGCAAAGAACAGCCATTGACGGCCAAAGGGCAATATCCCTCGTAGGGTGTTTCGGCCAAAGAGCAAGGCCAGCCATATGCAGATTCAGGTATGTCACTACTCATAAAGAGCCCGGTTAGTTGTTTTAATCTCAAAGTGGGATCCGATCTATTCCATGGTGGTATTGACTGCGCAGGGATTGGACACGAGCCGGTGAGATCCTGGGTGCCCACGGTTCAGTTTGGTGTTCTGGCTTCGAATTCGAATCGTTATGGAGATCCTGCGAGGTGTGCACGGCAGGATGACCTCAAATCGGAATTGGGTGGATCAATGAAGGTCTTGCAGAGCATGACATTTCCCAGGGTGGAAGATTCACTTTGGCATCGGGTCGAGCGGCGGCCTTGTGTGTGTCTGGCGTAAAGCTTTGATGGGGGGCATGATGTCCTCGTCAACCATCTATTCATGGATCTATTCTGTGAATTGTCTATATGACCGGCACCAGATGCCGCAACTCCAGACGCCGCGCTGAGCAAGATTGTACCTGTTCGTAATAAGTCGTGTAGAAAGGGGACGTCCATCAAATGGTCAAGGAGTGTCGACTAATCCGTTGATGATCTCCACCTGCACAACGCCATCTTTGAAGTCCTTCAGTTTCACACTTCTGAGATCTTCCACAATCCAATCCGCCCCAGCTTCTTTCAGCTGACCAACAGTGTGGGTTGTGGCCAGTCCTATAACCTTGAACCCGGCCGCTTTTCCTGCGCGGACGCCCGCAGGAGCGTCCTCGAAGACGATCATTTCGGCAGTATCGGGAAGGCCCAAGCGTTGCCGACCGAGTAGGTAGCAAGTCGGATCGGGTTTACCATTCTCGACATCCTCTGCCACGACGATGGTGCGTGGATGGGCGAGCTTCAGCACTTCGATCCAGCCTTTGACGAGGAGTCTCGTCCCCGAGGTGACGACCGCCCAAGGCACGTTGACGTCGTCAAGGCTTGCTAAAAATTTGCGGGCGCCAGGGATTTCGACCGCATCTTGGCCAAATTCCTTGGGAATGAGACTCTCTTGATGGATTATATCTGCAAATCACTCGTTAGTGCGCAGTCAACCACTTGGCAGGCATACTCTGACGCCCTCGGAGTGATTCTTACAATCCCAATTTGCCTTGGAAGGGTCGTACATCTTGAATACGTCGATACTTCTCCGGCCGTGCGAACTAGCGAGGATAACGTTGGGATCGACCCCCATGATCTCGCCCTGCTTGTGCCAGTGCTTGATAATGGCTGATGTACTGTCGATGATTGTGCCTGTCACTCGGCTTAGCAACATTCTAGGTTGATCTGGTGAATCTCACATACCATCGAAATCCAACAGAAGGCCTCTGGCTGAGGCGACCGTGGGTGGCGCGGAAAAATTAGGTTGTTCGACTGAGCCCATCGCAAATGTCGACTCTGAGTGAAAAGGCACAGTATATCCAGGTACGAAGAACGAGAAGAGGTCAGTGGGAAGATTAGAATGGGGAATCTATATATCTATATAGTATTTCTCTGCACACCGCGTGTTGAGTGCATGTATATATACTTGTGAGAATGAGTTCCGAGCGTTTTCTCCCTAGCGGCACCATTGCCTGATTCGGCAGCGTTCCGGCCAAAAAAGACGCGGTGAGTCTCAGTTGGGGAAGGAAACATGGCCATCGTGCCATCCCACGAAGTCGCTTTCGGGCTGAAGATGCCCCGGGGGTCCTCCTTGGCATGGCCCGCAGTCTGTAACTTTTTTCCACATCGGAATCCTAGCCACAAGATCCCCCAGTCGCCTCGTCACAAAAGTTTTTGTCATTGTTTATAGCAATGGTCAAGCCATGTAAGTATAGTGGTCCTGTCTTCAGCAACCCATCCAACTGATCCATCATCAGTCTCCAAATCAAAACGCACGCCCGTGCGGCTGCGACATAAAATTGAAAAAGCCAGTGCGGCCAAACAGAGGAAACTAAGAAAGGAAGCAAAGAAGGTGTGTGCTTTCTGTTTCCCTCTCTTGCCTCTAAATCCTGCATATACTGATGTTGGCTCTACCAGAACCCTCAATGGAAGTCACGCTTAAAGAAAGATCCCGGCATTCCCAACCTGTTCCCGTTCAAGGAAAAGCTCCTCGAGGAGCTTGAAGAGAAGAAACGACAAAAGGCCGAACAGGGACAGAGGTTACGAGAGGCGACCAAAGAGAAGAAGAGGGCCGGAAAGGATGGGCGGCCAGGAGCAGACGCCGAGGCCGAAGAGGAGGACGAGGACGATTTGATGGAAGAAGAGGACGAACTTCTGGACGAGGATATGGAAGAAGACGATGGCGACAAGGCCCATGACAGTGCAAACCCTTTGGCGGCGCTAGTAGCATCAGCGCAAGCGAGAGCTGCCGAGTACGACGGGGGAGCGCTAGCAGGAGACATCGGGCCTTCTGGAGACGACGGATCGGCCGCGGAGACAGTTCAGATCTCGGAGACGATATCCTCAGACCACCGAAACCCGGACTCGTCGCGGAAAGCATTCGACAAAATCTTCAAGCAAGTCCTCGATGCTGCAGACGTCATACTGTACGTCTTGGACGCCAGAGATCCTGAGGGTACCCGATCCAGAGAGGTTGAACGACAGGTTATGGCCGCCGAGGGCGGCTCGAAACGACTAATTCTTGTGTTAAACAAGATCGACCTGATCCCTCCTTCTGTTTTGAAAGGCTGGTTGATTCATCTACGACGATATTTTCCCACAATACCACTCAGAGCATCGACTCCGGCATCTAACGCTCAGACCTTTGACCACAAGCAACTTACCCTTAAAGCCACCTCTGAAACGCTCCTGCGTTCCCTTAAATCCTACGCCGCGTCCAAACAACTCAAACGATCTATTTCTGTTGGAGTGATAGGATATCCCAATGTGGGCAAATCCTCGGTCATAAACGCTTTAACGTCACGTCTGAACAAGGGCGCTCAGAGCTTTGCCTGCCCCGTGGGTTCTGAGGCCGGCGTCACCACCAGCTTAAGAGAAGTGAAGATCGACAGCAAATTGAAGATCCTTGATTCGCCTGGAATCGTGTTTCCCTCGACGGTGGACGGAGAAGGCAGAGAGGATAAACAGCGCAGAAAAGCAGAGCACGAGGCTCGGCTAATTCTTCTCAACGCGCTGCCACCGAGTCAAATCTCGGATCCCATTCCGGCAGTGAATCTTCTGCTCGAGAGACTCTCCGCTTCGAAAACGCTATACGAGAAACTCTTGAAGTATTACGGCATTGTCGCACTGGGACCGTTCGCGCAGGGCGATGAAACGACAGATTTTCTAGTCCAGGTCGCGAGGAAACGGGGCAGGTTGGGTAAAGGAGGCGTGCCGAACCTAACCTCGGCGGCGATGACGGTCATCACGGATTGGAGAGACGGGAGGATACAAGGGTGGGTGGACCCGCCTGTGCTGAAGGTCGCCGACGACGAGGAGATGGTCGAGGACCAGGGCATGGACGATACCAGGGAGCTGCCCACCGGTGCGGATCGCAAACAGATTGTCAAGGAATGGGCAGCCGAGTTCAAACTAGAGGGCCTTTGGGGCGATGGTGCCGACAATGGCAAGGGATTTTCTGGTGGAGATGATGTTATGCAGATAGAGTCATGAGTCGGTCTGATGATGTGCACCATGAGCATGATTTTACTGGCGTTTGCGCAGGTTACTTAGGTCATGATATCCCTGGGGATGGATGAATGCACTGTCAAAAGTTTCAATGCAGAGACCTATTTCACACTATGCCAACAGATCCATATTTGAAAGCGTTTTCTCTGTTCATTCTGATGATTTCTTGGGGCCGTCGCACGAGGCTGAGGACTTGAAGGGGAGGGGGAAACGGGGCTGAGATTTTGTACGTCAGAAATCCTACTCGATTAAATTGATCCGGGCTTTTTTTCGCGGTCGCGTCCGTCTGGGCGATTGGGACCGCGTCTGAATACCGAACACAACCACCACCACCCTCTCCCGCCGGTTGTACTTGTACGTTCCTTGCACTTGTCTGAGCTCTGGCAGAAATCACGGCTCAGTCCTGATTTTTGACCGTCGACGTCCCCTTTTGTTTCGCCGTACTGCCATTGAGTGGCGCGGCCTCGTCTCCAGAGAAACTTTTCCCCCCTGCAAAGCAGAGCGATCGCGAACAACCGCATTCCCTCTTTGACCGGGTTTTGTCCTTGGACGGACATCCCTTTTTCATCTACATACGCGCACTACCCAGCAAGTCAGGGTGCCGGTTGCCAGGGGACATTGAGACTGAACTATAGTCCGCGTACGACGACGAGCGGAGGGACGGGCATTGAACGCCGCAGGGGCACAAACGACAAACACATCTCACATCCTTCACGCGGCTTAGGAGCGCGATCCGCTGCAGTCTTGTACGCTGTGTTGTCCTAAGGGATATATCATACTCCTTTCTCTGTCTCTCTCTCTCTCTGTCCAAGTGGACGCATACTTTATTTACCCAGCCATGCCGCCACGGAAAAGCGGTGCATCGACCGTGTCTGCGACAGAGGCAAATGGTGACGTCTCCACACTGTCCACTGCAACGCACGCAACGGCTTCGTCCTCTACGCAGCATGCGCATCCGAGATCGTCAAGGCAATCAGGGGGAAAGCAAGATGATGGCGTGAGCATAGATGTGGGTGCACTCCCGACTTCCCGCATTTCGGGCTGGCGGCGCAAGAGGATCGCCCTGGATCAGAGCAATCCTCATAGCTCCTCTGGGATTGTGCATGGGAAACTACAAGCAATGTTTGGCTGACCGTTTACTGACGCAGGACCTCCTTCTTCCCCGGTCTCTTGTATCTCGTCTGTCTCGCGGAGTTCTCCCTCCCAACACCTCTCTACAAAAAGACGCCCTTCTTGCTCTTACCCGCTCCGCCACCGTCTTCATCTCTTATCTTGCCCACCACGCGAACGAACAATCGCAACTACGGCATAAGAAAACACTCGGTGTGCAGGATGTCATGGCAGCGTTGAAGGAGATTGAGTTTGCGAATGTGATGGATCTTGGCGCCGTGGGGAAGGATGGCAGGACTGGCGGAAGACTGGAACGGCAGGTGGAGGTCTACGAGGAGATCATTGGCAAGAAACGGAGGGGTTACAGAGAGAAAGTCAAAGCCCGGGAGTCTGGTGGCGGAGCAGCAGACGGAGATGGGGACGCCGAAGACAGAGGAGAGCCGAGCAACAAGAAGATTCGGCGGACGAGCGCCGAAGAGGAAGATGAAGAGGAGAGGATGCTGGAGCAGCAACTCAACGGGACAGTCAGCAACGAAGTGGCACCAGCTGCCGCCGAGAAAGCGAAAGCGAAGAGGAAAAGTCGCGACAGTCAGTCAATTTCGGTTGTTGTGCGGAATGGGAAGGGAAAAGGGAAACCTGATTCAACCACCCGAGAGGATGGGGGACACGGGAACCAAGGCGGAGACGAAGATGTCGAGGAAGCAGACGACGACGAGCACGAGGAAGATGAGGAAGGGGACGATGAGGATGAGGACGATGACCAAGACGACGAAGACGAGGATGAGGAACAGGACGATGAGGACGACGATGAGACCGGCGCCCAGCACGGCGATGGCGATGACGATGATATTGAGATTGACGACTCGAGACAAGCCAACGGTCGCCTCCTCCCCGACGGAAACGTCGAGATTGGAAGCGACGACGAGAGCGATTGAACATAGTAAACTCATTTCCTCCATCATTATCTCTTGTCTCTGCTATCCTTTCTGTCCTCCGTATTGTCATATTGTCATGGCCCTGGGATGATATACCCTCTTGCAAGCAAGGCAATAATGAGATTATTACTGGTTGTTTGTGAGACATGTATCAAGTATGGGTATTGCCTACACCATAGCACAGATTTCGAGACTGTGAGGTACAGAGTAATGATCTCCCACACTCACACACACACACTCTCTCTCTCCGTTTCAAAGCAAGCCGTACAGGTCGATTGACTGGTCGGCTCATGGACTGTACCTGTAACTGTAACTATAGTTGTAAATCGGAACAGATACTCATACTCCCCAAACAACATCAAAGGCAATATAATACGCACGGGAGAAACCCCGACTTCGCTATATACCTCGGTACTCAATCTATTTTCCTTCTCGATCGTTTTCTCCCACATCGAGTACGTGCCTACATAGGTATGTATCTCCTCTAATTACCCCAAGTGCATTGTGCGTCGTGCGACGTCACACCAAAAAGAATGCTATCTAGACCACCCCAGCGGGGTGACGGTGACGGTGACGGCCGAGAATGTTTCTCCGGCCTTCGTTGATCACACTCAGCGGCGCGACGACACTGTAGCTGTAGCTGTGCTTCGACTTGGACCTAGCAGGCGTCGCACTCATAACCATGCTAGTCCCGCGGCGGTGGCCCTGCTCAGGCTCCGCGCGTTCTGCATGGACACTGGTATCGCGCCTTTCCTTGATCGTTGTGACATCCGTGTCTATCTGCGTGGCGCTCGAGAGAGGGGAAGAAGAGAGCGCGTCGTCCCATATCCAGCGCTCCTCACCTCTGGGGCCGTCCTCGGCTCGTCTGCAGGGCACGTCGTTCTCGAGGATCCTCGTCATGAAGCGCTGTATCGAGAGGATGGCTCGCTCTGCATCGACGGAGAGCGTAGTGTGCGCAGCACAGAGGCGGACTCTGGGACGCCTTGTCGCGAAGCCTTGGGGTTGGGTCTGCACCTGGGGGATCGACAGGTCATGAGGAGGAGGACGAATTCCCTCCCTTTTAAGACGGGGGACAGGAAGACCCGGCTGCACGCGATGCGAGGTTATTACTGGGTTCAGACCGAAGCGGGGTGGGTGGTCGAGTTGGCGCTGAGGACGTGGTCGAGCGACTGGGTCGACGACCATCATCCACACGTCGTCAGCCTGGTCTGTATCTGCTGGGTGGCGGCCCTCTGGTGCGGAAAGGATCGGTAATGCAATGACGCCGCGTTTGCTGGGTGAAGGGATGTCGAAGCCCGTTTGCTGCGTCCGTGTCTCTTGTTTTCCTGTGACGACTCTCTTTGACACTGTCTTCGCATTGGCATGCTCTTTCGACTCTTCCACCGAATGAGATGGCAGGGTGGGTCGTGCTCTTTCTTCGGCCGCCACTTCCACACCTTTGTTCGAAGTAGTGGGCGCCAGTTCGTCGGCGTCGATATATACGAATTCCTCGTCATCGTCTGCATCGGTGTCGACTTCGTCATGATCTTTCGCTTCCGCCTGCAAGCCCTCATTCTCACGAACCTCCCTTTTCTCGGTTTCCGCATTCCTCACTCGGACAAAGCCCAAGACCTTCTTCAGGCTCCACCACCACTGTCCCAAATCACTCTCCAGATCGAAAATGACCGGCATCGGCGGTTCTGGACCCCACTTTGCATCCTGAGTGACTGCAGTCTCCTTGACGTAGAAGCTGTCTCCGACACATAAGAGCCGGAGGTCTGAGTCGTACCATGATAGGGAGTCCGGAGTGTGCCCCGGGGTATGGAGGATCGTTAAGGGTGTTGTAATGCTGACGGGCAGCGGTCGCGGAGAGACCTTCGCAGGAGATGAGGACGAGATAGTCGGATGCGTAAAGATAACGTGAGATAGGTCCGCGGCCCAGATTCCAACATCGTACCTCGGCGCCTGGAGACCGAGTTTATCGCAAAGGCTGTGGTCCTGGAGGTTGGAGTAGGGTGTAATGAACGATTCGCCGTAAGAGGAGGACAAAACCGTCGTTCGAGGGCGGGCTGATCCGTCAGAAAGGCAAACGTCTGATACATGGTCTTTGCTATCCTGGTAGTCTGTCGCAGTCGAAGTAGGAGGCAATCTCCCAATGCCCATGATATGGTCATAGTGGCAATGGGTGGTCATGACGAGGTAAGGTATCCTTCCGCCAGGGTTTATCGTGTACTCAAGGAATGTTCGGATATTCCATACCGCAGGTTCAGTGCGTATCTTGCACTGGCGCTGCTCGTCATTGGCCTGCGTTGGAGGTGGTGGCTGAGGACTTGAATTGGGCACCTCTGTCCCGCAGCCAGTGTCGCTCAGGACAATGACTTTATATCCTTCCAACTCATTTTGAACTGCAACGCTAGGTGCCCAACATACCTTTCTGTGCCTTAGACTGGGATTAATGTTTGGTGTGCCAAATGATGGAGTACCGCATATCTTCGCGTAGATGTGCGGGAATTCGCCGTACCGATCATGCTCTCGGATTAGGTACGTCGTTGAATTCGTCAGCCCATTGATCTCAATTTCATCGATTGTGAAGGGACACGAGACTGGGACATGAAAATCAGCTGAAGTTTCTTTGCTCATCTCTTTGCAAGCCATGCTTCCCCAGAATCTATTGATCAGAGAAGTTGTGTAGCAGTGTCGACTTGGTTGTGTATTGGGGAGTCTTGGAACTAATTTATGGAGAGCTTTGAACTTGAACCGATTGGTTCTGCAAAAAGGCGAAACACTCTGATGGATCGAATCTGACAACAACGCCCGAGAACCACACGAGCTACTCACATAGAGGTAGTTTCTGGCTTCGTTGTAAGATAGATGTGTCGACCTTCAGTCTCGATCCATCCGGTCGCCTGCCCCATCCTCGTCTCCTTTTGCCAGCTTGTCTTCGACGTCCTTTTTCACTCCTGCTATGAACGCCTCCACAGCCTCGCCTCCACCCATAGGTACTCCGCCGTGTCTGAGATATCCGCCATTACGAACCGGGATCTTGAAGGTCTCACTGACTATTGGAAGACCACCTTCTCTCAGTGCAATCGTCAGACTGGACAAACTTTGCGTAAACTGCGGCGTGTGCAACACTCTGCGCAACAAAGCCTTTCTGCAATAGGTCAATTGCCGTTTTACCGCGTCCCGTTGCTCCGGCGTCGAGTTTGGGTCTTGTAAGGATGACGTGTCGACCGAAGCCCGCACCATCTCTGACAGGTGAGCCGGGAGACATTCAAACAAGCGGTCCAACAACTTGTCATCGGCTGATTCAATTAATGGCAAAGTTGATGACGGCGTCAGCAGGTCACCTAGCGATGTGAACAGCTTCTCCTGCGGCGGCTGGCGCCGAGGACGTTGTTCCATGGATTGAAGAAAGTTCCGAACCAAGGCACTGGCATCCAGACCCTCAGCGGCCGCCCTGACGTGGAGAGTCAGAAAAGTAACTTGGGTACGGGAGGAAAAACGCACGACGTGGGGTGCAAGTACCTACGCTCGTCCGCCATCCGCCCCGCCCTCGCGTGACTCTTCTCCTTCTTCTCGAAAATCCCCGCCCGTGGCATCTGGACCAGCTCCAGGACCTTGTGAAGGGCGGCGGTTGGGGTTATGATCTGTTCCCTCCACATCCTCCATTGGCTCTGCCCCGTCGTCGTCTGGGGAATTTCCATCGGGAGGTAAACTAGCCATTTGTTCTTGGACATCGACATCTTCGCCTTGAAGGAGATTGTTCACGATCTGGCCTAGCTTCAGATCTCGAGCGGAGAACCATGACGGGTCACCTTGCGGATGCTGACTGCGCGATTGTAGCCAGAAGAGGTGTCTCTGAGAGCTGGAGGTAAATTTGAGGACGTAGATTCTTCCGTTCGTGGGCGTCTTCGGGTTGGAAGGGTTTTCCGCGCTGGTAGGCTGGTAGGGGGTGAACGATCCGTCCATTGGCACCATCAATAAGTCGAGTTGCGGCTGGTCCAAAGGAGCAGTCCTCGGTCGCCAGCATAGGTGGAGGAGTTCATCTGCGTAGAGGTAGAGGTATCCTGGAGTTGGTAGAGGTTTTGCTCGTGGAGGCGAAGTACTCGTCTGAGAATATGGCTGTTAGCAGATGGAAATAAACAGCAAAAATAGGGGGTTTCAACACTTACATCAAGCTCACAGAGCCCCGCCTTGAATGTCAGGATGGGTGAAATCGACATGATATGGAGATGATGCAAGGAAAACGAATGCAGAAAGGCCCAATCTGAGAAAGAAACGTGATATTAGAGGTAAAATTGACCTTTTGAGACCTGGAAGTAAATGCAGAATGCTTTTACACGCGACGATCCTGAAGTTTGGGAGGTGCTTGCACTGAAAAGGGCAATTTGAGTAGCAGACGACAGCATTTGAAGCCTGGCGTACCAGGTCATAGTACAGGGCCGAGCCGAATGAACTGGTAGGGTGCAGCATGCGCTTCTTGGAACGCAATGTCGATCTTGGCACTTGTACCAACGCTTTGAGGAAAGTTAGCCAACCACGTGATTGTCCACAACCCCAATTGCGAATTTCCATTGTACCCAAGATCGGGGGGCGTTGGCCCACGCCAAGAAATGAAACCGCACACTTTCCCGATTCTGCGCTTGATATCGACTCTCCCACCACACAATCCGGCGAACAACACCACGAAACTCATTCTCGAATCTCCAGCCCGCGTGGTCAAGGTTGAAGGTCAAAATGTCTTCTACGGAGGCCAACCAAGCCGTCGTCAAGAAGTTCGGCTCCGGCGAGCGGTCTGTGCCCCATCACTCCCAGAAGGCCAGAAAGTGGTATCCCGCCTACGACGAGCCTCAACGCAAGAAGGTGAGTCAATTCTCAAAAAAAAATTGGATGCCCTTCCTAGAGCATCCCCGTCTTTCACCTCGAGTTCAACTCCAAGGGCCGAGCGACTTCTGGACGTCGGGAGGCTTTGTGTGCTTGCGTATCTTGTTTCGATCGAACCTCGATTGTGTGCTGACTGAAGCAATAAATGAATAGGCCCGCAAGACGCTTCACCCAGCCAAACCTCGAGCATCGCTACAACCTGGCGCTGTCCTGATCCTCCTCGCCGGTCGATTCCGCGGCAAGCGAGTCATTCTCCTCAAGAACCTCAAGGAAGGCGCACTCCTGGTCACCGGCCCTTTCAAGATCAATGGCGTGCCTCTCCGACGAGTGAACTCCAGATACGTCATTGCCACATCCACAAAGGTCGACATCAGCGGACTGGATCAGTCAACGCTGGATAAGATCGCCAGCCCAGAGTACTTCGCGCGGGAAAAGAAGAGCCGGAAGCAGAAGGGCGAGGAGGCTTTCTTGAAGCAGGGCGAGAAGCCTGAGGTAAGAAAAAACCCCACCACCCCATAACTTGCATCTCAAGTTTTCACTACGACTCTCGGAGACTAACACCCGTGTTCGCGCACTACAGAAGAAGGCTCCGGCATCCCAACGTGCTGCCGACCAGAAGGCCGTTGACAAGCCCATACTGTCCGCCATCAAGAACGAAGAGTTCCTCGCGAGCTACCTCAAGTCCAGCTTCAGCCTGAGACACGGCCAGAAGCCCCACGAAATGGCCTTCTGAGTCCGGAGCCACGCCCCGAAAAGTCACCCGACTTTTTGAGAGCAGGAGCCGGAAAGTGGTGGATGTGTTGGCAGGGAGCGGCGGGGGACAAGCGTGTTGCAGACGCAGAGCAGAGGGGGTGCTTGCTTCTTTGCTCGTCGTGGCTGCAGCAGAAGACCCAAACAGGGGCAGAGGCAATTGATGTTGCGCAAGGGTTGACGGGGAACCAAGATAGAAAAACCAAGATTCGGAAGGGGCGTCTTTTTTTTAAATCATGTGTGTATGCTTGCAGCGCCACAACCACCACCACCTCCTCCTCCCCCCTTCATCGCCCCTACCAGAAAGGAAACCTTGAGAAAACGAACAAAAAAGGCATGGGAACAACATCACGCTGAGCTGTGCTGTGCTGTGACATGTGGGAATGGCGGCGGAGGCGGGGGGAGGAGGAGGATGATGATGATGAGGAGCGGTCTGAGCCATGATCTTGCGATGCCGGAACCAGAAAAAAAAGGGGAGAAGAAGAATCTCGCACAAAAACAGAGACGGAACTTTGAGCAAATCATGGCCGATAGATAATGTCATCTCATTATCGCGCCCCCAGAGATCAAATACAGACAAAATGTGTCAAGCATCACCTCCAAAGTAATGGATTGATCCAAACCTATCTTCCACGAATTCCTTTATGTCCAATGCTGACAGCCATCAAGTATATTGTTCTCTGCAAACGGCCACCGACTCCAGCGTCACTCCTCGCTTCTGCGGTTCCTTGTCCTTCTCCGCGTAACTCCCTTCGCTTCATTGATCTTCCCGTTGACCTTCTTCTTCGCCCTCTGCTTCAACCTGTCCAACCTTTCCGGCACGTCGTGCATGTCTGCTTCTGCGACCATGTCGTCAATAATGTCGTCGCCGATGGAAGTTTCCATGAACCAATCACACAGTCCCCAGGGACTGAAGTTCCCCTCCCCGTTACATATTAAGTGATCGTCGGTCCGCCGTGCTATTCCTCCCAGAATGATATTGGTGGGCATCGTGGAGTACCCACTGTATGCGAATGTCTCTTCCAGCGAAATGAGTGTAAGGTAGAAGATATAGGTCAGAAGGTGAAACCGGCAGAGTATCGCCGGAATATAAGTTGGCAAGAATGAGCGGATGAGGTAGGCAATTGGGTGGTCGTAAGTGGCACTGAGTGGAAAAGGCGCGGATATATCAGCGAGGGCGTGATACCACTCTCCGTGCGCCCGGCTCAAGGGAACACTATACCGCCAGTCGTGCAGGAAGTTTCTGTGCAACAGGTACCCGATCATCTCGCGGAAGAGATATGCCTGCACGAGATCCTTGAGTATATCCCATGGCAGGGGCAGCGCCGTTGTCACACGCAATGCAGAAGGCCATAAGAGGACGCGCGTGAAGAGGAGTTCCAGCAGAGCTTGGGCCACAACGCCCAGGAAGAGGTTGAATATTGACCAGCCCACTATGCGCGACAGCAGCAGTGTCTTTTTCCGACCAGCGTTCTTGAATGGCAATGCAGAATCGCCCAGTGTTTTGAAATTTTCGGCCACAGAAGGAGCGAGCACATCGAAGCCTAAGAAGAGCAGTGAAGGAACGAGATAGAATAGGATCCGTACAGCGAGGGTCGCGACAATCTCAACCCGAAGTGGAGGGTGTGAAAGGACCAGCGTTGACCAGGTCAAGTAGAAGAACAAGAGATTGAGAGAGGTCGAGTACGAGGACATGGTTGGGATGAGAAGGAAAGAGAGCATCGGCAACCCGATGAGCGCGTCCCATATGGTGCGTAAGGTGGTGTATGTCGACGAGAACGGGGAGATGGCATAGCTATAGAGGGTCTCGGCGAATGACGGTGGTGGAGGGCAAGAGATGGCTTGTGGGAGGTAGGAGGACCATGATTGAGGCAGGTAGCAGGCCGGGTTATAGGGCGAGGACACCATTGAGGGCGGATGCCGACTGAGGTCGGGAGTTCCACACGCGCGCTGTCAAGGTCGCGTCACCGATTCAACTGTATGCCCTGAGATAGTAGCATGAAGCCAAGTTGATGTCTGTCTGAAGTATGGAGGATGGAGTCCCACGGTTGTTGGTCGAGGCACGATAGAGGCGCAGGTTTCTGAAAGCGCGTTGAGTTGGATTGCTTTGACGTCATAGACAGGTGTTGGGTACAGCACGTGATCTGGGGTCTCCAGCCACCCACCCATCGAAAGCCAACGAAGCCACGACTCCTTTTTTGACGCCACCAATGCAACACCGTTCAGCATTGATGTATTCCCGCCTTCCATGAGCCACCAAGTGTGCAGATCTATCCACCGGATCTATCTATGTACCACGTACACCTCAAGTTTGGGTCGTGGGGAGGGTTGCACCGTTGGTGAGTGATCACCCTAGGGGCATGGGGCACAACCACTCAACCCCACGCCCAATTGAGGAACTTTATGGTGCTTGCAGTTGTCGATTCATCTGCCTGCATTCTCCTTGCACATGTTCATTCTTTGCTGGGTGTGATAGCGGGCCATCCAGTCGCCGATAAAAACCCCTTGGCATCTGCCACCTGGACTTTGGGTTCAAGACCAATAGTGTCCAGCAAGAACCTGTTTCAAGCCATCTTGATGTTCCGCTTTTATTGACAGCTTTCTGGTTCTAGGATTTCTCCCTTTGGTCGACACCCGTAATGAACAACCCTGATCTTGTCCCAGGCTCTTGCAATGCAATAGCCAGCCTCTTTGATATGAATCTTGTAATAGTTGAACCCCTGAGTTCGGTCGACCCAATCGATGACACCTATCACGAAACCCCTTCCGAGCCCCAGATGCGGTTACAGTCATAATGCGGGGTCTATGATGCAGGGCCACCAGAGTGGACGGAACAAGCTTGACAAGCAAATAAGAAATCAGGATGAGGGCCAACATCCCACGACTGACCAGCCCGTCTGTTTTGATGGCCAGCGTCGTGGAAGACAGTGGATGTGACCTTCTGCTTGTTTGTGACGCCACAACCCCCATGTCTCTGTGTAACTTGTCGCCATCATTGCTCGCTGACTTCATGGCCCGTTCAGCGTTCCTTTATTGTTAGTGCAGTGTAAAGAGCCTCTCTATTGAATAAAAGGCCACCTGCCCCGACAAGAGCAGTGGCATCCGTTACAAAAACGTACCAGTTCTTCTTTGTATTTGCCCAATGGCCGTAAACAGCATCCCGAAGACGCAGACAGCTGCAATAGTCCGTGAACAAGGCGGGCCAGTCGAGTTCAATGACAATTATCCAGTCACCCTTCCCAACAACGATGAGATCCTAGTCAAGGTCTTGTATACTGGTGTCTGCCAAAGTGGTTGGTCAAATACAGCCTTTCATTCGGCTTTGACGACTTGAAGACTTATTGTGATTGGCATAGATCTCCATACCAAGGCTGGGACTGCTACGGGGGCTGACGGACGGCCTATTACAAACATAAAACTGCCTCATGTGGGTGGACATGAAGGAGTCGGGCGTGTTGTTGCTTTTGGTCCCAACTTGTCTCCAAACGACAGGCTCCAGCTAGGCACATTGGTGGGCATTCGTTTTGCGTCTCGTGTTTGTCATGAGTGTGAGTATTGCACCTCTGGCCGAGACCAGCACTGCCCTCATGCAACGAACCATCTGCACCACGAAGACGGCAGTTTCCAGCAATACTGTGTGCTCGACACAAAGTATTTGACCGAGTTGCCCCAAGACCTGGATCCAAAGGTCGTCGGACCAGTTCTTTGTGCCGGCGTAACTGCCTACAAAGTGAGGTCTATCCCATTCTCCTCAGTGTACAAAAATGCTAATTGTACCAGGCCGTGAAAAATGCAAATGTAAAACAAGGAGAATGGCTCACTGTCATCGGAGCGGGTGGCGGGTTGGGCCACTTTGCAGGTTCGACTTGCACTTGCACCTCGCATCCATCGAGTGTCTGCTGACATTGACATACAGTACAATATGGCCTGGCTCTAGGTGCAAAGGTACTTGGAGTCGATGCAGGTCCTGACAAGCAGCAATTTGTGGAGTCGTTTGGGGCACAATATGTCGACTTCTCAAAGTGCAAGGACCTCACAGAGGAGATCACAAACATTACTGGAGGGGGTTCGCATGCCGTTGTGGTCACAAGTGGCCACCCCTTAGCCTTCCGAAGGCTTGCTGACCTGGTTCGGATTGGTGGATCTTTATGCATTGTGGGTATACCTCCTGGCGACGTGCATCTGGACACGCCGGTGGCTACCATTGTCATCCGAGGTCTCAAGATCCAGGGCAATCTCGTGGGGTCCTTGAAAGAAACGCTTGAGGCTGTGGATTTGGTCCGTAGTGGAAAGGTCAAACCGCATGTGAAAGTGCGACCTTTTCGGGACCTGCCAGACGTGTATCAGCTATTGGAAAAGGGAGATGTGCCTGGCCGGATCGTGCTGGAGCTGTAGGGCCTAGCAGCACACCACAATCAACACAGATTGAATGGGCTCGAAACATTGTGGAGCATGCTTATCGAGGCCATAAGTGCTGCTCCTCAAGTACCCTCGCTGTCAGGTGTGGGTGGAGGCTGCATGATCGAATCCCAGCCTCTCAAAGCTGCATATTGGGCTGGATGGTTCGCAGGTAGTTCGCATAGGGCTCTCCTGGCAATTCGAGATCTGCAGATGGGAATGCAAGGCACAGGCCACGACCCAGAAAGACCGAATACATCCTTCAACTGTGGGTGAGAACAGCTCCTGTGACCAGCGTTCGGTAAACACCGAGAGACAGTCTAGGGAGCAGCACCCCCAGGACATGTGATGTAAGTATGCACGACACACTGCCTCTAGTAGCTGTCAACTCTGGGTCTCAGATTCGCGGTCCAATAACAGAGAAACGGCACCACATACCAACCTGGAAGCTGGAGGTGGAGACACTGAGTCTTTGATGAGCATTGGCTGTGGTTCGCTGACTTCCTGCAATATGGTCAATGCGCCTACATTGCCTGCGCTTGGCATTCATGCCACAGTCGCCTCTTGACTTGGTTTGCTTTCGTGGCAGTCGAGCACATACCTGCTGGATCAAGCCCGGCAGGAATTGAGCATGCCGCCAACCTGAAACGCCATCACCCCCTTACACAACCCCGGGATGGTGTTGTGGTTGGTCAGAGCTGAAAGAAGCAGAAAGCCCTCTTCAACTCGTCCTCAAATCCTCTCGGAATCGAAGTAACAGAACACAAACTTGAATGGATTCTCTTCCATCGTTCAGCTAAGCGTGGGGACCAGTCCTCAGGGAAGAGAAAAGGAACCTTTCTTGCGCTGGTTGCATCCCCTTCAATACTTCGTTGCTCGTCAAGGGGGTTGGATTTGACAGCGGCACACCCCACTTTAGTGTGCATCTGTCGTGTGAGACAAGGATGTCCACTCATAGCTCTCAACCACCTCCATTTTCTCTCGGTGGCTGCATCTGTCATTCCATCTTGACAAAATTGACACCCTGCAAGGTAGTGGCTAGGATGCAAGCACTTTAACTGATAGTACAATCGATAAAAATGCAGGGTTGCATTATCGTGAATTATTCGGTTATCTTGGAGTCAAGCATGATGCAAGGCTGTGGATGCTTCTGGTGTGCCTGCAGAGTCTGGATTTTCCGGGGAACCGAGGTGCACGAATGGGAGATCTCTTCTATCATGTGTGCTCTTGACCGAGATCTGTAGTCTGGAGCCGGTCAAGACCTTTCGCACGTGAAAAACCTTCGTTTCTAGACTTCCCGCTTTTGGCGCCCGTTGCGCGTATGAAAGTAGCCAGGCTTTCTGGAGTTGGTTTAGGCCTCACTCAAGGGCAAGAATCTGGCAAAGCCGATTCTAAGCCCCTGTGCCGATCCTGAGTGGGTGTCAGCTATCAATTGACCTGTGCTGTAACTTCGTCGGGGTCCATTGACAAGGGCCCCTTGCCGTTCTATCGAGTCTTGAAGCCCGATACTGTAGAGGCCTTCCAAGTCGGGATCTGTTGTGTCTCGATGATCCCTCTTTCAGGAATTCGGAGTCGACAGATCTGGCTTCGACTAACTGAGACTTTCATAGCCCCAGTGGCCAAAGCTCGTCAATCAATGTAGGGTGGAGACGGGAGGCCACACTTCGCGATCCATTCGGTGGAAAGCACATATTTTCGCCTTGCATTCTGTTCAAGACATTCGCGCTCCGTGTATCGAGGTCAAGCGCGACGTAACATGCCTTTTATTCCCACGCTCCCCCATCTTTTCCACATCCTCCCTCAACAACCCTTCTATTGCGTCGAGTGTTGGCAACATCCCATAGTCAAAATGCAGAAAATGTCCCGTTATTGTCGAGAAGGAATCGGTTCGTGAGGCCTTAGGATCCTGACATGGTAGTGTGGACAGCATGCTGACTCTCCGTCCAGTATATCAATCACATCTGAAGGCTGAACAAAGCCCTTTCGAAATGTTGCCTCGGCCGGATCATCCAGAATTTGTTAGAAAGTCCTCGCCAGAATTCGTGGGAGAATTTCCTCCGCTTTCGTCCAGTCTCTTTTCTTCCGATGCAGCCAGTACAGATTCTGGCGGCTTACGTCGACCGTCACTCGCATCATCCACTTACTCGGCCTCACCCGAAGCTTTCTGGACTCCGTCAGCAGCAACCGCAAGCCCTATAACCCCGATGATGGTCGAGCCCGGGCAGCACTTGATGACAAAACAATATGTGAAACCCACGGCTTACCTTCGTGGCAACAACCATATCTTCGCTTTTGCGCAAGATGATGAGCACGACGCTCATAGATCGTTGTGGGAGGCTCCTGGGTACTCTGGCTTGTCCTTGATGGGTGGCACGCATGAGCTGCTTCTGGCAGAGGCTAGCCGTCTGCCGTTTCACCCAGACATACAAGGCCTGAGTCATGGAAACACAAATCCAGCGCTGACGAAAGTGATGTTTGTTGGATCGTTGGGCACTGGGTCAGGTGCGATGATGACAGCAATGGAAGACGATCTGCTTCAATGGAGCTCACCAGCCATCCACCCTCCTTCAGAGACAATAGAGCCAAGTGTGGCATTTCACGCGACCTTGGCTAGTTCTCCAAGCTACAAGGTCGAGCCATCAACGCCTCCAAAGCTGCACATACCTCCCTCTGCCATCTTGAGCAGTAGTCCTTTGTCGGTGATGTCACCACAAATACTGCCTTCACAGCATGATGTGGATGAGATGTCATGTGGTTCCCTGCAACATAATGTCAGTGCGGTGAAAAGGGAACGATCAAACAATGACCGGCTTCACCGGCGTCCTTATGAGCGAAAGCGTCCGGTTGGCTCGTCGTCAAAGCCCAAAGCGCCACCAGTCTTGACCGGCATGAATTGCGACTTGGTCATCCCACAAAATGAATTTGCCTGTAGCTATCCCGGATGTATCGACAAACACACCGGAAAACAAAAGCGATTCAAAAGGCAGGAGCACAAGAAGCGTCATGAGAAGACTGTACATGAAAAGTCTACGCACACAACATACAAGTGCTGGGTCCCCGAATGTAACAGACCATTCTCGAGGACAGACAATCTGAAAAGTCATTTGAGAAACACTCACTCCAAAAGACCAGGGGTCCGAGGAAATCGATACGTTGCCACTCTGGACAAGAACAGCGAGTTCTATGATCCAGACTGGGTGGGCGATCTCGACAAAAACGGATATCCAATCCATTGACCCCAGACTCATCTGCCTTGGTCATCTTGGTCGTGTTCACTTTGATGTGCCACGGCCTGCAACGGTCATTCTAAGAGGGACAAATTGGACAGACACAGTTGTGCAGATCGTTCCGTTCCCCCTTCTGGTCTACTTTTCTGTGATGTGTGATTAAAAATATGTTTCTGTTTGACTGTATCAACAGGTGAGAACTTGAGTCGCATGGAAAAGTTGGAATATCATTGTTCTCAAACTCGGCATTCTGATCTTACACCTGTACCAGTACCGGGAAGGAAAAGGGGCATTGCGCAGGAGGTTGTTGGTTACTCGTGGGGCAATTGTCAATGCATACAGCGGTCTCTAGTTGAGAAACCTCTGCAAAATAACTGGCGTCAATCTAAAAGAGCAAATAAAGAGGGGGGAAAGAATGATGACCAGCATTGTAAGAATAGTTTTTTACAGCGAGATGAATAAACCGTGAGATTCCGCTGCATGACTTGGAAAATTGATGGTGAAGCGTGCCAAGCTTTTTCGCGTCTTGGTCGCATCTTGGTCCCGACTGGGATATCCACGAGTCCAGGGACGAGTACAACCAGGGCTAGGGTGAGGGCGAGGATGAGAGCGCCATTGCTTTTAACGTGGATATAATGCCTGCATGGAGCGTGATCAGTAGAGGAGAGTAGAATTTCTGCTATGGAGAGAGGACGAATCTCGCAATGCTCGTACTGAGAACGAACTTTAGTGGGTTGAATTCCATCATCCATCATTGCCTCAACTCATCCTGCTTGTCCTTGGCATATTACAATGAAGACCAGCTCTTGATAAGACAATCCGGACAGTGCTGAGTCCAACCAAGCATCATCTCCTCTTGTAGCGCATTGGTCTCAGCGGGCTTTATGTAATGCAGGGCATGGCATGGCATTACATACCATGACGCTTGTAGCCCTTGTGCCAGCGTCGTGTCGTCGTCTCCGACCAAGCACTGCAAAAAGCCCGGGAGAGCTTCTCACAACCCCCCATAGATGGACGGGTCTCAGACGTCTCGCTTTCTTGTTCTTGAATCATAGCTTCTCTTTCAAGGTGTGACCGGATGGAAGTTTGTCCTTGCAGCGATGCGAATGAGACGTCTGAAATGGTTGGATTGGAATTCTTCAGCTTGGAATGAAGGAAAAATTTCTGTTTGTGCTCAGATGGCTCGTCGAGTGGTGATACTTCAAAGGGTTCTGCCAATTCAATTCTCCTAGGGACATATAGCGGAACCTTGTTGTAGCCGGGCAACTCCCCCAAGCCGAGTTCGACCTCTGGAGCAAGGTTCAAAGATAGACTCGCGTGGCCATCTTGGCTGCTTCGAAAAGAGCCCCCCTTGGACACGGGCCGCGCTGTAAAGGATGTCGATGGGCGCTTCTTCGAGTCATGGCCATCCCAAACGAATTCAGAACACGAGCTAGGCGTATCCATGTATACAACTTGTCTCCGGGGAGGGACTATCGTAGCGCTTACTGAGGATATCGAACCTGCATGGGTGACAGGGCGTGAGGCTGATTGCGATATCCGGCTGATACTTGGGGCAGATCTGTGCCTGGCTGGTCCACTGGACAAGCTGGGTCGACTGACTCTTCGGCTTCCAAAGGCGTGACTGCGCATCTCTTCTACACTCCCAATGGACGACGCCCTCGTGACACCGTTATGACGAGAGAATGCCTTCAACGAGCGTGGACCATGCAGCAAGCGGTCTTCGGCAACATGGATCGAGTGGAGAGTCGAGGTGGAAGCTGCGTAGGCATAAGCCGGGGGTTGCGTGAAGTGACGAGGCAAGTGACGAGGTAAAGGCTGGAAAAGTTAGCTGACATCAGAAGTGAAGAGGGAGGGCACATGGGACCTCATAATTTCCAGGACCTTGAGGCGGCAAAATACGGTCTTTATTTGTAAACTCATGAAGATCCTTGCGGATAAGAGAGGATATCTCGAAGACGTCGTTAGGTGGGACTTTCTGGACCGATGCTCATTGTCGTACCTTTGTCATCTCTTCCACACAGGACTCTGACTCCTTGACTTTGCATTCGTAGTCCATCTGCTCCGCGTATGTCAATAAAGCTAAAGCCTCGAGTGTTGGTGAAGTGGCTTACCATGGGTGCTTGAGATCTTCTCGCGTCAGAGTCTCCCGCGTTTGACGATGTGCAGGTGCTCTTGACACAGAGTTCACTTGTGAGTTCCAATGGTGGCAGCGACGGTTCTGGAACAGGCTGTGAGTGACTTGTTGAGTGTGTCAATGTCCCGAGCGAACCTCTCTCTTTACGGGCGAATAAGCCATTTGGTATCTTCTTCAGCCTCTTCGTCATCTTCTTGAGACGGTCGTTGTTCTCTCCCCATATTCCACCGAATGCCACTTTCTTAACAAGCTTACGGGATTGTGTCTCCTTCCGACTGCTTTCCCTCGGTACATTGGTCAAAATGGCCTGGTCGTCGAGAGACAGTTTTGTGGAGGTAATCTCGTCGATCGAAAGCTCGGGGTTGCTGATCTCAGCGGCAGTAGTAGTGCGGATGACCCGTGGCCACAGTTTCTCGGGAATGTCATCGAGAGGAGTGACGGGGATGCTGCTTGTTCTTGACGTAACTGAGGCCCTTGCAGACAACACTGGCCGAGCTGGAGAAGTGGAACATGTGTTTGTGTCCACCATCCTCAACGGCGAAGCAGACGGCATTCTTTTCGTAAGGTGGCCTCTGCCTTTGCCTACGAAGCCATTCGGTGTTGTACAACGTGTACCGATAAAGGATGAAGGAGGAGGCCGAGAACCCTGTTCGCGCATACTGAGGTCGGAAAAAGTGGAACGGCCCTCCATGAGAAGCGGTGTTGAAGCAAAAGGGAAGCGGTTTCAGCAAAACCAGGTAGTTGACAGTGATCGAGTCTGTCCCGCACGAAATAAAACATTCGAGCACGGCTTGAGACGACCCGGGAACGTGGGTCACTAGTCTGCAGTGAAGGTGGGATAATGCGAAATCGTCGGTGTGCATTGAGGTTGAAGAGGCGCGGTCTTGGGTGTCCCATAGCCACTAATAAGTAGCAGCGCCAAAAGATGAGAAAGCAGGACCGACGAAAGTCGTAAGTATGCGTTATGACCTTTGTCCGGGGAGAGGAATCTACTCTGAGACCCAACAATACCTTACGCAGGCAGGTGCAGTAGCAACCCTTTTAACGACCTTTGATCCTTGCCACTTTGGCCTCGGCTTCCTGGCGCTCTGCAACTTGCTGCAGGAAGTCCATCCTTGTCAAATAGCCGTCTTTGGCCTTTGCATGCGTTTTCAGCTCCTCCTGTAGGCCCTCCATATCAACATGTTCAGCCCAATCCATCTTACTTTTCTCGACGACATTAAGTTTGGGACCTTTGAGATGGACTTCTTGCGCCGTGCTGGATGTCCAAGAGCCTTTGAAGGCGTCTGGATTGTTGACATTAGGGTCAAAGCGGGAGATTTTGCGCAACGGTCGATTCACGACTTTGCCATCAGTTGTCGGGCTTGCAGCCTTTGAGGATTCTTGCTGAGACAGCCACAGTCGGGCTTCTGCCGACGACTTGAGAACCTTCTTCTCCTCAACATGCACCTCACCTGCGAACCTGTATATCCGCTTAATCGTTATGGTCTCTTCACCGTCGACGATGGGCACATTTTCTTTGTCAGTATCCTTACTCACGAACCCGGCATCTGGTGGCTTTCCATCTTGGTTTGTTGGCGTCATCTGCTCAACAACGCTACCATCCGCGCGAGGAGGAAGAAGTGGACCTGGTCGGTTCATCTCCTCCCATATTTTGTTCACATCGATGGTGCTCCCCTTGCTTGATGCGAGTTTGTTCCTTCTTCTTTCTTCCTTTTCCTTGGTTCGCATACCACGGGTACGCGCTCGCCATCCTTCTGCTTCATCCCCGCTCTGCTCTGGGACACCATCTTCATCTCTCTTGCCTTTCCTTCGGCCCTTCGTATGTTCGTGTACAGTGGCTTCATCTCCCGAATCGAGCTCTGTGATCAGCACTTGTTGGCCCTGCTGCGGGTCGATTTTCTGCCGTTTTCGGGGTCGTTGGAGCGCGTCGCTGGCATTTCGGCTTTCATCGTCAGATGAAGAGGTAGGGTCTTCAGGACCGGAGCCATCGACTTCGAAGTCACTATCAGCCTCTTCGTCGTAGTCGTCCTCCGGAATCAAGGCATGATCTTGTGGATCTGTCATGGCACAAGCGAGTGCGTTTGAAGGGAATGAAGACTGGTGTCAACGCCTGACCGCGGCGCGCCAAACCCAGGCTGTTAGTTTGCGTGTGCGAGGTAACAGATACCTAGGTAGGCACGTCCCCAGTACTTGTCGTTACAGCAGACTAGTACGGCAGTGGAAGGACGATGGAACATACAGACGATGACCCGTATGGTCGGACCAATTAATCAGTTGTTTGAATGCAGGTTCTCGCCAATAAGCGAGCCCAGCTTTCTTGGCGGCCCGTGCGTAACACACTTTGGTTCTCCGCGAAGCGAGGCAGCTCCATTACAAACTCCCTGGAGACACCAGCGACAGATCCAATATGTCAAACTCAAAGACCCAGACCGTCGACGCCTATTTTGACGAAATGTAGGCGTGAATCTTGAATGCTTCATTCCCCACTTCAACAATGTGAGCTGGCGGACTCTAGTGGCTTGACTGAAACTCTTGATCCGTTGAAGGCGACTCTGCAATCATGTTCAAAATGCACAATCCCTTCTGGGTTATTGTGATTCGTCAGGCTCCTCTGATTAAGGGAGTGTTCGCCCACTGTCGTCTGGGTTCTTTTCTCATGTGTTATTGATCTCTGGAAGGAAGACGAATCACTTCTGGGTGTGAAGAGGTGAATGCCTGACATTGTTACTGTGCTTGACCTCCTATCGCAGGTCGATGATCCCACCTCACTCATTTGCTTCCTCACACAATTATAGCTGGCTTGCACACAAGACAAGAGTTCGCAAATGCTCCGAGGTCAGTTCATTGCATCCTCCACAGCTCGCGAAAGGGCAATGCATTTGGTAACGTTACAACCACTCTCGGCCGTAAGCTTACCAGCAAGGCTGTCATAACTGCAGCATCGCGCATAATACCAGTTTTGGTTACTTGAAGATTTTGAAGGTTGTCACCAACAAGCCTTTCTGGTATCAACATCCTTGCGGCCTTAACACGTCGGGACGGAGAGACTCAATCCACTACACCGAGGCGGTGGTATAGGATCGAGATCTATAAAGCGAAGACACGGAAACCATCCCACCAGACCTATCACAGGTATGTGCCATGATTGCCGGCAAGAATATTGGCTCATGTAACCAGACTTTACTGAGGGCTAGCCCACTGTGTTATTCAGAGACGGTCATTCAAGTTCCTATTGCGCTTAGACTTCCAAGGACGAAAATGGGAACCCACGATGAAAAGACGGCGACCATTTCGCACTATCGTGACTGGCCAAATGCCATGGGGGTGAGCACATTTATCTGAATCATGGTCCATTCTAATTTGTCCCGCCTGCAGTTCGATGTAAACTATGAAGAGAAGACCGCCGTTGAGTTGAGGGTGCAAGGTATCATACCGGCCTACGCCGCAGGCACTCTGTTTCGTACAGGTCTGGGGCCACGGACGATCAGCACATCGAAGGACACTGAGTTCAAAACCAACCACTGGTTCGACAACTTCTCACAGATTCATCGTTTCCAGATACACGCGCCCCAGGCAGATTCGCAAGTGCGAATCACTTACAATTCTCGCTTGGTCAGCGATGGCCTGATTGAAAAGATTAAACAGACCGGAAAGCTAGATGGCTTCACATTTGCCGCAAAGTACGATCCTTGCAAATCCTTATTTCAGAAAGTCCAGGCAGTGTTTCAGCCAGCGGCGCCTCCCCCGAAACCGAACGAAGTCAACGCCGCAGTAACCATGTCAGTCAATCTCCCTGGCTTTACAAGAGACGGTCATCAAGCAAAGGGTCCGCAAGATCCCAACAGCGGTATGACTCTGTGCAATAAAACCGATGCCAACATTTTGCAATTCCTTGAACCGGAGACTCTCGAGCCCCTGGGCATCGCTCATCAGGGCGTTCTTCATCCTGACCTCAAGGGCGCGGGGAGTGGTGCACATGCGAAGTCAGATCCTGTCACAGGAGATGTCTTCAATTATAATCTCGACTTTGGTCGAACTGGAACGTATCGCGTGTGGCGCAGTTCCGCATCCACCGGGAAGACTTCCATTTTGGCAACGTTTCACCACGCTCCGGCATATCTTCATTCGCTCTTTCTCAGCAGGGACTACGTGATATTGTGTGTGTGGAACTCGTTCTACAGAGCGGGTGGCGCATCTATTCTATGGAATCGAAATCTTCTGGATGCCATGGTGTGGGATGGCAAGCGGCCGACCACCTGGTTTGTGGTCGATAAGCGGCCGTCAGAAGAGGGCGGAAATGGTGTCATTGCCAAATATGTTACCGATGCATTTTACTCCTTCCACACGATCAATGCATATGAAGAGCCATCGCGATCCCAGCAAGGTGCTGTTGACATCGTGTGCGACCTCGCCGCATATGACAATATGGATGTTATTAACCACTTCTATCTCGACAACCTCATGAGCGATCAACCTCAGGCCCATGCCTACACGGAGTCATTGAGCTCCAGTTCGCGACCGAGCTATCGACGGTATCGCCTACCGGTCATCCCGTCGACACCAAACCCCGGGCACTTAAAGGCCCATCTGGAGTACGAGAGCACGAAGGTCAACGCATTCGAACTTCCCACCATTAACCCCAGAATGGTGACAAGGAAGCATCGTTACATGTACGGAATAAGTGACACCGGGAAATCTACCTTCGTCGACGGTCTTATCAAGTATGACGCCGAAACACATGCGACAACGCGATGGAGTGTACATGGCCAAAGTCCCGGAGAGCCGATATTCGTGCCAGACCCCCAATCTGGGGATGAAGACGGCGGAGTGCTGTTGTCGGTGGTTCTCGATGGGACAGCAGGAAAGAGTTATCTCCTTGTGCTCGATGCGAAGACGATGACAGAGGTCGGGCGTGCCCATGTCGATGGTGTGATTGGATTTGGATTCCATGGCCTGCATGTTAGTTCCCGAGAGCCTATTGGCAGGTTCAACGGGCTGCATTTGTAGACGGTGATACTTGGTCAAGGGTAGGTTATGTATACCTTGTACATAACCGGAATGCATACATGGCGATAGACATGGAGTCCCGAGTCCTCGTTACCTTCCATACCAAACATCAAGTAACTACTCATGCTACTTTATTTTCTTGGTGACGTTTGCGGTTGCGGATGTATTTCCCGAACGGCAGTTTCCGGCTTCACTAGCCGCCACGCCCAAAAACCCAGTAGCGCCTATAGACCTCGGATGATGCAAGGCCTTTGTCCTCGTGGGCTACGTATGTGCCTACTCGTCCCTACCTAGCCACTAGGATACCTGACCTGCTAATCTGGGGCTGGTGGGCGTTGGTCACACCTTACGAGGTAGTGACAGCTCTTGGTGGTTGGCACCGGGCATGACGTTGATGTGGCTGGACAGAAAAAGCTTTGACGTACCAGGTACTCGTCTAGGAGCTGCACTGCTGTCAGGCACACACACACCAGTTCACAAGGTTCTATTCACTGCAGAACACACCACCCTCCATCTTAAACTGTCATAGGTTTGCGAGCCACT